TTCAATGGAAGACCCTGCCTCCATTGGACACCAAAGACGGAGGTGTGGAATCAATGGACCCAGATCCCTCCATTGGACACTCCGGGAATTGGTGTGGGATCTCAAAGCCTAGAGGGCGCTACATCCATCGAATTGGAGCCTCCGGGTTTAGGATGCAGAGGGCTTCCAAGGGCTTCCGAGGCCTTCTACGGCGTCTGCGTGTTGGTCACGGCGCTCGGGAATCTCCGGTCCGTGTGGGAGGTGCAGCGCGCCAGGAGCAGGGGAACATGGGTGGGGGAAAGAAAAGGTTGCGGCGGCCGGGGGAGGGACTAGCTGGTTTGAAGGGACGAAATGATTGCGTTAGACAAAGGGGCCAAATAAGTACAACAAAATCGTACCTCTCTTATTACTAGTACGGATGACTCATGACTAAATATGGTTGTAAAGCTTTCCACAACCCCGGTCGAATTATTGAGCAGCCCTTGCATGCCAGGGGAGTGAGACACTGGGGCAACATTGGGTTTTTGGCCCCGCTTGTGAGAAAGGGGGCCGCCTGTAAAGCGAAAGCGGAGGTTTTGCTTCCCAACCAGGAAGCACTCCATGCGCAGCGCGCTGGGCTTCACCCGGCCCTTCTGCGGGCAGCTGCTGGCGGCGTGCTCTCTCGGGCCCCGGCACCCGCAGGAAGTGGACCTGCGGATCTGGTTTTGGTTCTTGGGGGCGTTCTTCCTGATCTTGGTGTGCCCGGGCTATCATCGTGTGTCATTTTGCGGCGCCAACACAACCATGTGTGTCGAAAAAAGCGTTTCTGAAAATCGGAGTGTGAAAGGAGAGACGCGAAGTGCAAATGGTTCTGCCTTTGGCTTCCTTGCAAGCTAGCCGGGGTACCTTCAAAAAAGCAAACATGCCATGTGGGTGTGCGAAAAGCACCCTGTGGCTCGGATTACAGAAAGGTATCCTCCAAACTGCCACGCGACGTTTTGCCCAGGAGATGCTAGATTTTGACCCACCCCGCGGTACTCGCAGCTCAGCTCTCACCTTCAGGTCGCTGCTTCAGCTGGCCCACGTTTGCAGCGAGAGCTACGTGCCATGGCGCTGGAGCGTGTTGGCCCTGGCCGTGCTGGTGCCTGGGTCAATGTTTGGTCATGGTTTGATATCTAATATGAATAGAGAGATGAAATGCATACTTGATATGTATAATATATATATATATACATACATACATACATTGATATATGTATATACATTATATATATACATGCATGCATGCATGCATGCATGCATGCATGCATGCATGCATGCATACATACATACATACGTACGTACGTACGTACGTACATACATATGGTAACCCGCATGCGACACCTACCTTTTAGGTCTTTGTGCCACATGCGGAGACATGCTTTCCCATTGCGCACAAACGGCGGAGGTTGACTAGGTCTGGGGTTGAACGTAGGTGGCTGACAAGCTTGTCTCGCCCTTCGCGGAAATGAAGCTGGCGATGGCTTTGGTTTTGACCGCCTGGCTGCACTTGGTGCTCCACGCCATTTGGGAGATGGCGGAGATCTTGCGGATCCCCATTCTCACGCTTTCTCGCAAAACAAGCGGCGCGTGGAAGGTCATGGGGTTGCGTTTCCATGCCAGAAGCCTCGGTCGGCCCATGGTGAAGGACAACTTGGTCATGCAACATACTGTGGATGGACGAAATCCTGCACCACTTTGCAAGCATGGGAAACGATGGTTGGCATTTCAGAAGAATCATTCTAAAGTTTCTTAGGTGAGACATGGTTTTCGCCCATCCACAGTTCGTGGTTGAGTTACTTCTGATCTTGACTCCGCCGTTTCCCAAGTCTCGAGCCAAATGAAGTGACCGGAGCACAGGCGTGGCTCTGGTTTCGGGGAAGTGATTCTCCAGGACATCGCGAGGGATATTTTTTTCTTGGCGGTGATTCCTTCAGAATCAACAAGCGTTTCGGCTCGCAAGATGGACATCTTTAAGGAAACCGCCCGGCCTTGAGCTTCGTCCTGTGATGTCTATGGTCACAGTCCCCAAGATGTGGTCAGCCTGACCGGGACAAATCGAGTCCCGTTCTTCTTGTGGCTGACACTTCAGCTGCTCGTTTTCATGTCCCTCGAATCCGAAGTGACCATAGACTAGCCATGGATGGTGCCAATGGACCCTTTGGCATTTTTATCACACGGGGGTTGTCTCCACCAACTCTGTAGGGAGCTCCAAGGACTTGGAGTTTGTCCCAACTGACCCTTTTGGAGGCTCGGGCGCGCCGATGTTCCGGGCATGGCTCCTGGCGGCGATCCTGGTGCAGGACGGGAGAGCCTGAACTGGTTAAGGACTCTGAGCTGTCTCCTTTCTTCACTCATTTCCTTTTCGCTTTTGCAGGTGTTCAGTAGAGGGAATGAGCCCAGAGATTCTCAAGGAAACCACCAGGGTTTTGCTTCGGGTCCCATGTCTCAGTTGCATCTCTCGCGAGTTTTTTCAAAAAGCTTTTTGCTTTTTGCCCCGCGCGCAGGCCTCGGCCCAGCCCGGCGCTTGGGGAGCCTCCGCGCGGCTTGCTTGGCGCGCGGCGTGCTCGGCGCTTGTTGTGCGAGCGCGGTTGGTGCGAAGGTGGGCTAACGCCACCCGAGGGGTGCAGGCCTCAGAGGAAGAACCGGGGGCGGGGAAAGCGAAGATGTTGGTGGGTGTGAGGTTAAGAGTGTGTGTGTGTGTGTGTGTGTGTGTGTGTGTGTGTGTGTGTTTTTTTGTGCACTTTTTGGTTGAAGTGTTTTGGGAGGAAATTGGTGTGTTCTCAAAATGACTTTTGGATCCTGGTTTCCCAATAGACCACCATTTTAGAGGTCATGTTGAGGATGGCACCTTGATGGACCCACCATGGGTTCTAACCCAAGCCAATTGACACCATGGACCTGAGCAGCCTGAGGCATTGCAGGCTTACTTGCACAGCAGTCGGAGTCCCCAGTTTCGGGTTTCCGTGTGCATCATGACCGCGCACCATACCATTTGAGCATAGGGGGATGTCATTGGGGGTCCATGAGCATTGACCGCTCCTGTTCTGAGGATTTGGTGCTTCTCCAAGTGTGATGCCTGCCAAAGGACCTTCGGAGCAACCAACCACCTCGTTTTGTTTTTTTTGGTGCGAGCGCTGGGCATCGACTGTGTCAGGAGACCCTGCGTTGGACCCATGTCCTGTGCTCAATGATTGGCGCTCGCCTCAAGCTCTGGCGTTCGACTCCAAGGAGAAGTTCTGAAAGGAATCGGGCCTCCAGTTGGTTGGTTTCCGTTTGGCTTCCCCTTGAATACCAAAAGGGGGTCCAGTAAGTCAAGGGTTAGCAAAAGGACGGTCCCAACCATGACACTAGGCGTAGATGTCCGCCCTGTCGCTTTGGGGCTTCCTTTGGGTTTCCCTTTGGGTTTTCTTTGGTTTTGGATTTCCCCTTTGGGTGCCCCATTGTTTTTTTTCTTCTTCTTTTTTTAAATGAACTCCCTCCCCCCTTGGATTTCCCCTTTAGGTTTCCCTTTTGGTTTCCCCTTGTTTTTCCCTGGTTTCCTTTGGACTTCCCCATTGGATTTCCTTCTTTGTGTTTCCGTTTGGGTTTTTCTTTGGCTTTCCTTAGGTTTCCCTTTGGGCTTCTCCTTTGCACTTCCCCTTGGGACTTCCCTTTGGGTTCCCTTTGGACTTCCCCTTTGGATTTGCTGCCTTTGGTTTTTTCCTTCAGGTTTCCTCTGAATTTCCCCTTTTGGGTTTCCCTCTGCATGTCCCCTTTGGTTTTTCTTTCTCTTTGATTTTCCTTTGGGGTTTCCCTGTGGATTTCTCCCTTGGGCTTTCCTTTGGGTTGCTTTTTGGACTTCAACTTTGAATTTTCCATTTTGGTCTCTCTTTGGCTTTCCCTTTGAGTTTTGGGGTAGACCGGTTTTCATTGTGACACACCCGGCAACTTTCACGGCTTGGGGTGTGGACCAAAAAGTGCCGTCACCCCTACCCTTTTTGGGTTCCGACCTCCCTCCCACCAAACTTGGTAGCGCAAAATGACGCCGACACAAGGCTTTCATGGGGACTGCCACCCCTTTGTCAACCCCTATCACACTTGGAGTGCGAATTGTCTTCTGCCCCGAGAATCAAGGGGAAGGTTCAATTGATGGCTTGGGTTGCAACCCCTTTCCACAACCAGAAGAACGCGCCCAGCAAACTGCAGGCCGAACAAGCTGGAGATCGACGTCCCCAGCCCTTGTAACCTCCTAGCGACCTCCGGCAGCTGGACAGAGCTGGTGATGACGAGTCCTCTTCGACGGGGGGTCCCCTCAAAAACGTTGGGCGGAGAGCCATACGAACTTGATGTCCGACCAAAAAGGTCCCCAACCACCATCTTATAATACTGTTTTTTGGGTTATGAACCCGGGGTCGACGCTGCGCAGTTTTGTCCTGATCAGGTTTTGCCTTCCTTCTTTTTTGTGTCTGTCTTGTTTGAGGGTACCCTTTTTTGGGGTTGCTTTACGCAAGGAAGCCAAAGGGAAAACAACCAAACTTTTGAGGTCCCTTATGTTAAGACAAGCCCTTCTTTTGCTTTGAGCACCTCAACTCTCCAGGACATCCTCTGAGATCTCTTCCAGTGGAGCAGCAGTGTGCACCCAAGATGCTCAAGTTGGTGCCTTCTGAAAGGTCCGGGGTGAACACTTCTTTGTGGATAAGTACAGGGATTTCTCAAATCATTTTAGGAGAAACCAAAAGGACATCAGCCATTTTTAGGGGGTCTATCTCGGGAAACGCTCAAATCAACATCTGACTCACCCCACTAAAACCGCGTCTCCAAATTGGATTCACCTTCCAAAGCTCTACCAAAAGTTTGGAATTTCCACCTGGGAGCGATGGCGTCGGATGCCCTTCTTTGGAAGGCAGTTTTGAAGGCTGAGATCCTGAAGTGGGCTTGGGATGTGAGGCAAGGAGTCAGGAGTGCTTCTTGTTTCCACTGATCTTGGCTGTGAACTGGGAACGCCCTCGCACATGCTGGAGGTAAACCCCCCCCCCCATGTCACGCATTCGCCCAAACTTGAAAACCTTCACAACCATGTTTTGTAGGACCAAGAGAAGTCCATGGCTTTTTTCGCCGAAAAATGGGGGTGGGGGGTGGGTGACCTGAGAAGCCGAGACTCCGCTGGTGATGTCCTGGATGCAGCAGTGCAGCGCCCTGGGCGGAGGTGAAGGGGCGCAGGGATCACGCCTTCGTGGGCTCCGTGTGGGGACGGAGTTGTGTTGGGGAGATGGGGTGGGGTCTGGGGAAGGGGCAAACAAAAAGGGGCAGAAAAACCAAGAAGAGCAAACCACCCATCCACAGCCGCCAATTAGAGCCCAGTTGGCTTGGACGCGATAAGTAGGCGTTTGCTTGGCCTTTAAGGTGCACTTTTGGCGGGTGATTTGAAGGTTAAAACCGAGGGGAGGGAGGGTGGGGTGGCAGGGGTTCCCCAGACGGAGACAGATATCACTTGGATTTGTAGGATCAAACATTGCGCGACAGGCCATTGAACGGGTTTTACTTCAACGTTTTGGGCGGAAAGTATAGTGACTCTCGTATGTGTTGGGTTGATAAAATGGAGGAGATCACCATTTCAGAAACCTTCTACTTGTGGCGTGTGGGAAATCAACGCGTGATGCCTCGTTGGACGTGAATCGCTGAGTCTACAGTCAGTTTGGGGCGGACGAGAAGGGCGGACAACCAACATTTTCCACACCACCCAGGAGGCAACGCAACTGCAAGCGCAGGCTTGGTGCCTGTCACCACCTACTCCCTTCCCAGCGGCGGCTTGTTTGGAACATCGCAGATGGTGCGGCTCGCAGATCGTGAGCTTGGTGGTTCCCAGCCATAAGGTTTTCAGGGTTTAGTGGAAGTCTTTCCAATAAAAAGCACATTCAGTGGTTAACTTTTAGTAGATCTGAGAACAGCCCAGAAGACTTTGGCCCAATTGGGATGGACGCAACCCACTGCGAAACACTGATCTGGAGGAGTTTGTCCATCCACAAAAGTCTGGAGTACAGGTTTTTCGGGATGAGCAACTGGGGAATGGTTCCATCTACTGCACCCCTTGACCTCTTCAAGCGGGCATGTTGCTTCACTCTTGGGGGAAAACACAAAATTTCCTCTGCGTAGAAGTTCTTCTGGAGTCAACATTGCTGTGCAGATGGACTCCAACAAACTGTCACGAGACATGGTCGGAATCTCCTTCAAGCCAGGCTTTTCGCGGTTCCATGTGTCTGTGGGTCAAAACCAATGGTACCATTTTGGGGTAGGTGCACCACCCGTTTTAGTCTATTTGAGTGGGGATTCGGATGTTCACTGGGGGTACGGGATTTTGACCCATGGCCATGTGGGTTTCTGGGTACAATTCCATTGGGCACTCTTTTCCAGCCCGGCTGGCTGTCTGAGATGCCGTCCTTGACCGGCAACACCTTGCGCTTGGAGGACTGCGTGGGATACACGCGCCGGGCCCAGCGGCTGGTGCCTGGTTGAGTAGTTCTTTGTTTCGTTTTTGATTTTCATAGCAAGGAACATCTGAATTGAGGGGGCATGTTACTCTGCGGGGGGCGGAGTCCCAACTCAGGCGGTACTACTTGGATGAGAAGGTGCGGGGTGTATCGGTACAGCTCAGTGGCATGAGGAGAGACAGGCCCCCGCCCAGGCGCCCCTCTCCTCGCAGAAAGCTCCTGAGAACCTGGGCCTTTGGTTTCCTTCCTAAAGCTGGTCACTGCACGACACCCATTTTTTGAGTGTCCGATGGGCTTTGGTTCTGTTCTTTTTGGGGGAAGGTTTTAGTTCTGGACATGTCCCGAAGTTTTTTCGCACAAGAAAGCTACTTGAACAGCCACCGCGGACCAGATTGCCCTTGGTGATTTTCAGTCGGACAGGCTTTGTTCGAGCCATGCGGACTGTTCTTTGTACTCTTCATTCAAGCATTTGGTTGTTGGACTTGCCTACTCTTTGCAGCTTGCTGACCCCAAGAATTGGTGCCACATATGGCATCTGGGTTCGCTTCCTTTCACGTTTGGGTTTGTCTCAACCTCTAGAATGGATGGTTTCAGTTTGATTGACCCGAACGGGAATTGTGCCAGAATATCCACATTCCTTGAGCTGGGGCCTATCTTTGGTGCAGACATTGGCTGAAGTCTGCGGTTTGCTCGCAGACTTGTTGAGCAGTCCTTGCTTGTGTTTGTTCAGTTGGCTATGCCTGCCCCCTCAAAGACCCTTTGAGACACGTCCAAGATCTCTTCAAGGCCTCTTTGAGACCCCTCGAAAAAAGAAAGAAAAGACCGCAAAATACTGGAGAAGGAGCTTGGCTCTCTGAGACGCGTTGATGGGACCTTGCTTCAAAGGTCGGGTGTTGGTTTCGAGGGTTGGGTGCAGTCCGTCCGTGGCTCCGTTTCCTGGGGGCTTTTGGGGCAGGTCTACTACGTGCCTGGAGAGCCAGATGCGCACGCCTGCGAGATGTACCACTCTTGCGCCGCTGGCTTAGAGCCTGAAGTGAAGGCTCCCCGGAAGAAGGGACAGGTGTTTTTTTGGGGCAACGGAGTTCGCGGCAAGGTTTGCAAGGGGGTCAACTGGGGCCAGGGGGCGCTTTCTGGAAACACGATCTGCCGGTATGAATTCCCCAAGCACACCGAGCACTGAAAGACCCGAGCAAGCGATGCAGAGCTGCCGAACGGCATGTTCGGACAAGCTTTCAGCAGAGGTTTCTGTCTAACTGAACATTATTCACAGCTTTCAGCGCTGTTTTTTGCTTTCCTCCACCGCTGCTCGCCTCGGCTTGAGCTTAGGATGGCTCAGTTCTCCTGCAGTTCATCATCAGAGACCATGACCGCCCGGCATGTCGCGTGCCCGAGCACTGCATTTCCCGCTTTTTCCGCACGCTTTTTGTGGAGAGGGTCTGAGAGTTCCGCCAGGCAGGACGCAAGATGGCTCACACGCCCTATCTTCGGCTATTCCAGAGCTCCTTCAACATAGAGGACGTTACTTCGTTTGCTGTATTGTTGTAAGAAGGTTTGTACCACCCCAAAACCACTGCCCCCCAGTGGAACATTGCGTCCCATTTCTTTACTGGGTAGTGGTTTGGGGGTGGTGAAAACCCTGTAAGATCTGTTGCATGCCTATTGGGTACATGTATTTTCAGGTGTTTACCTGGCAGGACGCAAATGGATTGCTGGTGGCACAGGTTGAAAGGAGAGGCCGTCGACCCGTTCATTCATTTTGGGAGGGCGGGGAGGGGGTATTGGGTGGGGGGGGACAGAACCTAAATTCCTTTGTAAGTATTTCCACAAGGCAAGGGCGAATTGCCAGATGAGACATGAGTAAGTAGTACTGTTTTGCTTGCTTGGCTTGCTTGCTTGTTTGCTTGTTTGTTTGTTTGTTTGTTTGTTTGTTGGTTTGGTTTGGTTTGGTTTGGTTTGGTTTGGTTTGGTTTGCTTTTTTTGTTTGTTTTTTGTTTTCCGTCTTTCTTTCATTCTTTCTTCCTTTCTTTCTTTCTTTCGTTCGTTCTTTCTTTCTTTCTTTCTTTCTTTCTTTCTTTCTTTCTTTCTTTCTTTCTTTCTTTCTCTCTCTCTCTCTCTTTGTTTGTTTGTTTGTTTGTTTGTTTGTTTGTTTGTTTGTTTGTTTGTTTGTTTGTTTGCCTGGTTGGTGGGTTGGTGGGTTGGTGGGTTGGTGGGTTGGTGGGTTGGTGGGTTGGTGGGTTGGTGGGTTGGTGGGTTGGTGGGTTGGTTGGTTGGTTGGTTGGTTGGTTGGTTGGTTGGTTGGTTGGTTGGTTGGTTGGTTGGTTGGTTGGTTGGTTGGTTGGTTGGTTGGTTGGTTGTCTGCCGTTTGGCTTTGCAGAGCTTCGGTGATTTCGGACTGCTCAACATGTGTACAAATTGCTTGCTCGTTGGATCCCTCAACCCAAGAGAGCTTTGAACGCGCTTCTGTTGTGTATCTTTTTCTTTCATTTTTTTGGTGGGAATTTCTGAGTTGGGAAGGATCACCTGCGAATCAATTTTGTTCCACGAGATGTGAAGACCCGTCGCCTCCGAGCGTCAGGATCGGGCACTGGAACCCCATGTCGAAGGTTTGCTCGGGGCAGGCGCACAAGTGGTCGGGCGCTCTGTCGGGATGCCTTCGCAAACGGGTTGGACTGCCAACTGTTTCCCTTTGACCCCCAGGTTTCCACGCCCGGCACATCTTTGAAGGGCGCGCCATGCCATTGGGTGGGGGGGGGGGTGGGGTTGGTGGGGAGGTGGACACCTACAAGCCTAGCTACAAGCCTAACATCAGGTGTCTAGTCGGATTATCATCCTTATGACACATGATTGTCATATTATGAAAGACCTCGTCATTTGATATTGTTCTCATTTCCGTTAGAAACAGAATGCTCCAATGGTCATGGATCATCATGTTGCCTCAGTGTTTGTCAGATCTCAACGTATGCTTGTCGCAGATCTTTCTTTCACCCTGCGGTGAGAAAACAACAAAAGACTACGCAACACGGACGTCGCCGAGTCGCCGGCCGAGCCGAGGTTGGTGAAGTTCCCAGATTTGGGGGTGGCAGGCTGGGGTTGTCAGCAAGAGCATGCAAGATCGCAGGAGTCCACCGGAAGCTTTGGATGGGCCATAGAACACGTTGCATCCGGCCTTTGGATGTCAACATTGCGTCCTGCTTTTGCTGGACACTCTTGCCTTGACGAGCAAAGGATTCTGACCCTCAGATGTTTCCAAGCGAAGAAGATGAGGATGGAGAGACAGTTTGTTCTGGGCAGCGTGAGGAACTGCAGGGGGATGTGGCGAACCTCCTGTTTCCAAATGAATGGGTGTGGCTCAAAATTAAGCAGGAGGGGTTACGCAGGTTCCGGTCCATGTTTCCACTTGCCAGGGTTCCATTTTGGTACCGGTTTTTTGAGCCACAGCCAAATCTCATCATTTGGTTGAGATCTTTTGCGGCTGGTATCTGCGGAACCAGGTGCATCATCCATCTTCCCTACGGCGGCTGATAGATGGCCGGTGGCAGCTCGGCAGGGACGTTACACCCCGAAGCCGCTTCAGTGCAGGAAAGGTGGTGGAGGCCAGTCTGGAAAGGTGTTTCTCATTTCTGGTTGCGGGGATTATACAGCAGCCTGTGTAGCTTTGCTGGCCATCTTGAGTCAGAAATTGCTGGTGTCAACCTCGCCCACTGTTCCGTGGATCCTTCACTGGCATTAGAGGTAGATGGCGCAATTGCAGCTTGTGGCCATGTCATCTGAGAGGCACCTCAAAGGTGCTTGTTGACAACTTGTTCCCCACGAACATGGGGTCCACGAAAGGGTTGCCAAGTGGTAAAGGGTGTCCACTCCCATCCATACACAGAATATCACCGCTATCGAGTGCTTGGCTCGCACTGGGTTCATCCAAATGATTTGACTCGTTTTCGGGTTCTCTCAGAATGACAGGGTCTAGAGGGCAACCACTACGACCGGTTCCAAAGTGTCTCTGCCTCACACCCCAGAGATACAGCTAAGAATGGGAAGCAGGGAAGCCAACTGCAACGTTCCCTTTTCTAAATCTCAACATAGGAGAACCCCTTCCCCCCGCCCAAAAACAAGAAAGCACCAAAGGGGCTGGTTTTCCCTTGAAAGGTATCCCTTTCAAGCCAGCCCGGGCAAAAAAATCGGGAGCACCCCGCGGACCTCGGCCGGCCTCGTCCGAGGCCCAGCTGGTGACGGTGATGGCCACCCGCGACGGAAGCCGCGGGGCCTCGGGCCTGGTGCACCCGGGGCTCTGCGAGGCGGAGAAGACCGGGCCCGGCGGCCCAGGGAGCCGCCGAGCCGCCGAGTCGAGTCGGCCGAGGGACGTCGGCTCGAGGCGAGAGGCGCAGGAGAGGCGAGAGGCGAGAGAGAGGTTAAACGGGAGAAGGGAAATGGCCCCAAGCCCAGGCGAAGGCAAAAAGGAGAGAAAGTGAAGCCACCAAGGATGATTCGCAGGCTCATTTCGTTTGTTGGGTCAAGCCATGTTTCCCCAGAGCTTTGGGCCAATGGAAGATACCATGGAACCAGAAGAGGGTCCAAACAGGCGCATCATGCAGCCAGGCGCCCGCAAAAGTGGTCCAAGGTTCTTGGCTGAGGAGATCCCTATGGCTATTGGGTATTCCGGTCAGCAACTAGCGCAACACGGGTTGACAAAATGAGGTCTATCACACAACAACGACCAGTGCGTAAAACCGACATGTGTAAGTTGCATCCTGGTTTGTTAGTTGTATTCAAGTTTGCTGTTTGTAGCTAGATGTGTTGGTTGTAACAGGCTTGTAGTTGTAAGTAGGTTTGTGCAATTTTGTGCTCTCCAAATGTTTGTAGGTGTTGATGTTTGTGGTGTGGACGAGAAACTCTTTGGTTTGGTCGGTCGTTTTTGGCCCAGAAGGTTTGAGATGGGAGTCCCAAGAGACGGGGCTCCATGCAGACTTGGCGTATGTGTTCAAAATGGGGATATGACCCTCCACAAAGGAGGTTGAAGCCGTTTTGGTTTCCCTTACCATAAGGAACCAACGCGAAAGAGTTTCAAGATGCGGGATCCCTCCAAAGGTGGTTTCCTCGTGGATTCCCGAACAACACCAACCAAATGGTGGCTCCCCGAAAGAGACACACCCAGAAAGGATCACCCAGAAAGGATGCTACCCTCAAAATCGGCGATTTTCGGGTAACACCTCCACATGAAAGCCACGAGACGAGGCGTTTTTGTCTTTTTCTTTGGTTTGGCTTCCCTTTAAACACTAACCCCCCCAACCCCCGCCCCCCCCCCCAAAAAAAAAAAAAGAAAGTAAGAAAGAAAGGGGCAAGGCGTATAGAAGCCCCGTGAAGCGGCGAGGCTCCTGGTAGCGTCTTTGGTCTTTGTGGTGGTGGCCGTCTCCGCGGTGGTTCTGCTGTCCGGCACCCAGGGAGGAGTTTCACCTGGCGTTGAATGCATTTCGAGTCGGGTGCCGCGCCAAGTGGTTGGTGGACAGACGTCTTTTTTGTTTTTTGTTCTACACAAATCATGGCAGAGGGGTCTCAAAATCCGAAAAGGTCGCAAAATGCAATTAAAGGTACCCACATGATATCTACTTAGACAGTCATACCAGTGCTGAAAACCGGCGAGCAGCCCGCCAGGTTTGTGCGGGTGGGCATCGCGCCCATGCAAGTCTCATGCCTGGACTTCGAAGCGCGCTTTTGCCAGCGCCTCAGACGGTGTTTATTTTGGACAAACAAAGGGGCGCCCAATGTGCTAACCTGAGGCTCCAAAATGGGGGGGTCGGTTTTTGGAGGGGGGCTTTGAATTTTTAGTTTTTGGGGTGGGGGGTTGCCAAGCTTCATCGAGCTTCGCTTGGGGGCGGGGGGAGGGGGGAAATGGGAACATAAAAAGGACCCTCTTCCCAAGATGAAACCGCCCCTACAAATCGCATCATCGTACGAACGTTGCAGAATCAATTTGAGATGTGTCCGTATATTGTTGCAATGTTGCGTGACATGGCATATGCTTCATTTTGCCATTCGCAGATCATTTAAACAAAACTTTATACACACACACACACACTCAGACGCACATGCACAAACACAGTCACATACACATGTTGGCGCGCACACACACACACAAGACACCAAACACACAAAGCACACATGGAACGCACACACGCACACAGCACACGTAAACAACCAACACATACATATTGACACTCACAGACACACACACACACACACACAACACGCACACACACACACATACAAGCACAGACGCACACACACACACAGCTGTCACAACCACCAAAAGCACACGAATGCGAACGCAGACACAGATGCACACGAGGACAGGCACAAACAAGCAGGCACACTGCGCACATACCTACGAACACGAACGCACGCACACACACACAGACCCTGACTCACAAATGCACCACCTACAAACACACACACACACACACACACAAACACGAACGCACACACACACACACACACCCACACACACACACACAAACAAGCACAAGCACACCAACACACAATCATACAGGCGCACACAAACACAAGAAACATAAGCACAAAAGCAAGCACGAGGACACACACGTGCCCACACACACACATACACAAGTACACAAACCCAACTGCAGTTACCTTCCATATATATATATATACACATACATTTACAAGCACTATACAGACACACATACGTGCACCCACGCAGATGCATTCTCACGACATACACACTTTTTGATACACACTTACACATTCACACACGGTGGTGGCATATATCAACTATGTGGCCAGAGTACTTTGGCAAGAACTATTTTGAATGTAATCGAATGGTGGCGTCAACTACTTATTACATTCTTTCAAAGACAACCGAGTATAATATAAAGCACTACATTCAAGCATGAAGTTCATGTTTCCTAGTACCACGCAATGCTCCTACAAGATAGACTCCAAACAAACTCTGCCCATTTGCATAGAGATGCCGTATGCATCCCTTCAGAATTGAGGGCGTTCAGTTTAATTCATGCTAGTGTCCGGATGCTGGACAGTCTTGTTCTTGTTGAGCACGGGTTCAAGGCTAGTAACGCAATTTGCTATTGGGTGTGTAGTTTCGCCTTGATACGGGTATGTGTCAGAATAGGGGGACCCCTGCAACCTGGGGGCTTTCCTTTCTAGCTTCCCGTTGCAGGTACCCTCAAACAAACAAACCCATGTTGGCTCGGCAGCTGAATTCCAATTCGAGAAGGGCCCCGGAATGCCAGATTAGAATCCGGTCATGTGGAATTGGGCCACGCACAGCTCCAGATATTTTGCGATTGGACCTGAAGTAAGTTGCATGTTGAACAGGGCCGTAGATGTAAGTCCCAAGCTTCGGAAGGTACGCCAACCGCTTCGAGGGCTGATTTGGAGATGCTCTGTAGATCTGCAGGTTGTATGGATTTGTGAGCGTGAAAGAGGGTCCAGGATGCATATTCAGGGGCGAAAAGCGAGCATTCAGGCCCGAGGAGAAAGAAAGCCGCATCAAACCTGCCCAAGTACACCTTCTGAGTGCCGTGGGATGGCTGTGGTGGGGCCAAAGCAGTCACGTGCGCGACAAAGATGAGAGTGGCTTTGCAGGGACAGCAGGCTCGGAAGGCTTTGTCGGCAGTCAGGATGGGTGAACATCCACCACCCCCACCCCGAAGGAAAACTGGCTTATACAACTTGGGCATGGCGAATATTCTGTGGTCATGTGACCCAGCTTTCCTTCAGGTTGGGGGACAGTGGAAACCATTCAAATGGTTACAAAGCCTAAACAGGTGGCCCCAATTGTTGGAATCCCCAACAGCAGCCTCAGAAGGATCTTCGCCCTGAAATTCGGCCCGAGCTCTTAGCTTCGGGGCCCTTTGAAAGGGCGGCAAGAGTCAGGTGGGATTTTGGATCGAGACACCAAGAGTCAGGTAACCAAGTGAGGCCCTAGCATTGGATTGTTGCTTGGCATTCGGATTTGAGGATTCGCCTGGTTCTTGAGGTTAAGTGGGAAAAACCACCCATCTCCACGCCTCCAAAAGCATCGATGCGCTCAGCACCAAACAAACAGGGGAAGCTGAAAGAGAGCGCTGCGCTTTTGTGGCTCCACTTTGGCTCAAGCTTAGCCAGCCCCAAGACCATGGCAAGCTTGGAGCCTGGCAAAACGAGTCCCGCCCAACGGTTTCTTTTTCGTGTCCTTTCGTTACAGATTGGATTCAGATGGAGCCCGCGTTTCCTTTGTTCCCTTGGTTTTTTCTTGGTTTCCTTGTCTCAGCAAGTTTCCTTGGTTCCCGTGTTTTGCCAGCATTTGAGGGCCCTGGTCGGTGGATTGGGGGTTGGGGGTACCTTCCCATTTTGGTTCCCCATCAAGCACTATCCACTCTGGAGGAATCATCCCCACAGACTTTTGTGTTTGTTTCCTTCCCCCAAAAGTGTGATCTCCTTGCTGTCCTCTGGTTGGTCACCCCCCTTGTCACAATCAAACCATAGGCATTCCGAAGATTCGGCTGAGGTCCCTGGCACACGCTGGGCCGCTTTGATGTGCGGCCAGGGCCCACCTACCTCCAGCACCTGGAGTCACGCCGGCCCCGATTCTTCTTTCTTTTTCCCGGCGGCGAAAGCGCACAAAGCGCACAAAGCGCACAAAGCGCACAAAGCGCACAAAGCTCCATTGGGGAAGTGTTCAAATTGGAATGCACCATCCATCCATCCCTGGCGCCTGGGCGCCTGGGAAGTGGATTTCGTGGCCGTCAGCTGTACTTCCTTCCCGCCTTTCCAGGGATTCATTCCTTTTTCCCAGCATGGTCAAAACCCACGGTACCATTTTGGGGTGGGTGAATTCACCACTCATTTTCGAACTTATTTGAGTGGTTGGATTGAATCGGATGTTCACTGGTGGGTTTCACCGATTTGGTTTTTGACCCATGGCCAAATGGGACACCACCGAGCTGCTCCGCACCTCCAAACTCCGCGGATTGGTCGAAAACTCCCCGCCAGGCAGCTGCACACCGCCAGCACCGCCATCGGGAAATGCCGGCTGGACACAGCGCCTTGGTGTGGCGGCGGAGCCGGTGGCTTCTTTTGGACCAAGGTGAACAGGGCCTCAACGGAAAAAATTGGGTCCCACCAGGCATTTTTGGGCGGCTTGGAAAGGCGAAGGATTGGTTTGGATCAGGTTTTCAGGTGGGTTTACCCTTTTTCGAGAGCGGTTTGGTTTGGAGTCGTTTGGATTGGTTTGGATTGGAGTGCGGCTCGCGGCTCTTGATTTTCGGTGTTCAGGTTGGTTTCCCTTGCGGTTGGTTTACCAGAGCCGCGCGCCGCGAGCTTTCCGCACGGTTTGCGTCGACGCGACACAGCCTCAGGTGGGGCACTTAAAGCCCTGCGACGACAGACACGCCCGCGGCTCAGCTTGGGGCGCGCAAAAACGGGGGGACTCCCAAAATGGGCTTTTCTTTTCGCTTCCCTTTCTCAAAACAATCCCAGGGGTGGGGTACCCCAAACAAATTCTGATGTCCACCCTGGGTCCCCAATTAAAAATGTCCAAGGGGGGGAAGTCCACGGGATCCCGCTGCCGGTTTAAGCATTTCCCTTGGGCTGACGGAAATTCCTCTGGGTGTACATGTTGTTTTGGGGAAATTCTCGGGCGCGTGTTGGTGCTGGATCTTCTGACGTCCAGTTGGATCCATTTGGGAGGGAGGACCATGGGTTAGCTTCAGGCGCCCATCCGCCTCTACCGCAGCTATGGCGAGTGGTTCGAAGCCGGGCTCAAGGCGCGCGATTTCGATTTCGAAGCAGGGGGTCAGGGGCGGGGGGTGGGGAAGCGGATTTGTTTGGGTGATGTTCAGTGCCATTGGGGTTAATACCGTTGGTGGTTAATGGTGGTTAGTACCATCCAGTGTTTTTGCTCATGGTTTTCTATTCTCCTTTTGAGTTTCCTCTAAAAGAACAACAGGGACGGCTTTGTTTTGTTAAGGTTTCACGCAGTCGTGTGTTTGCCAAGGAATTGCGAGCTGCCGTGATGCCGATCTTGGCTTTCAATTCTTCAATGTTCAGTGAGTTTTTTGTTTTTTTCGCATGAGGTGATGCTAAGGGAAGATATGAGCGCATTTTTATTATTTTAGTGCCCTTTTGGGTTGCTGCAACAAACCCAGAAGTTGGTCGTTGGATATGGGTATGTGTCAAGGGGATTCGAACCCCCCAAAATGGTATTGGTAGTTCTTTTTTGGTTTCCCTTTAAACCGATCCAAAAAGGGGCAATAAACAGGCTCCCTCCTATGGTTCTTGAAACGTTTTGGCAGTGGCTGGCACCTGGCGCAGGCTCCAGCGACCAACCTGGCGCTCGAGACCACGTCGTGGGTAGCTCGGAGTTGTCGGTCGCCGAGCCGCCGAGCGGCCGTGCGGCCGGGCGGTGAGGTCGCGGTTTTGGCCCTACGGCCAAGATGTGACCAAGCTGCACCAGACAGTGGATAAGAAGCATCAGTGCCCCGCTCGGCGAACCCTTAGTGGTTTGGACTGGGGGCTTGGAGACTTGGACTTGGGTTCTGGGCAAATGGGCAACCACCCAACCTGAACAGCTCCACCAATCCAAACCGACAATTTGACGGAAGCTGATCTTGTGAGTTTCACATGTGAGAGGTAGACTTGTGGAGCGCAGCTTGTGTCTGGGAGGTACAGGCTGGATGACAGGACGGTCCAAAGCGTCAAGCCAAGCACTTAGGGGAGAGGTGTTCTAGACACTCAGCCGCATGGTGCTGTGTGTCGTGCGTTCCGTGCTGCTCTGGAGGCCTTACATTCCTCCAAGAGACAGTTCTTTGCCGGACTTGCGGGCATATCGCCAAGGCGCGCGTGCGCGTTGACTGAGCTGCATGTTGAAGAGGCAGCCACATGTGGGGCCCTCGAAGCCGTTTTGGTGCCTCAGAAAGCGTTGAGGGGCCTTCCACCGTTTGCGTGGCAGGAGGTTCTCGGCACGACGAAGCTCTGGATCTTCGCGCCACTTGGATGCGCCGAAGGCGGTGTGGTGGCGAAGCTGATTGGATGCCGAGACCTGCGAGTCTTTTGGTTTCCACGGGTTAGGCATCTGCACCCATTTCTCCTAAGCTGAACATAGAACCCGGAGTTGCAGCTTCTGCCAGCCATTCTTTGCAGACATACAAGCGATTAGCGACGCTAACCGGATTGATTGCGTGCAAAGGTTGCATCATGGAAAGCCCGGCTTTTGCAAATACACTCTAAGCAAAGCGGGTATTTGGATCAGGAGAGATATTTGGACAAGTCCTCGGGGAAGGATGGAATGGCCCTCATATGGCCTCCTTGGGGATTTCTATAGCTTTCCCTCCAAAGGCGCGAGTGATTCCCTGAGAATCTGAAAATTCTGTTTGCTGGCGGAGTTGTAGTTGAACGAGGCGTGAACAACTTATGTCAAATATCCGTGTTAAGCTCCGTGAATCTTGTCGAACATCTACCGGACCCTCAAACCACCCTTCAAAAAATGGATTGGCCCAACGTCATGGTCTCCCGTGTTTCAGGGTAGTTCTTGGCATCACATATCAAGAACGCCCTTGACATACGTACATGCGTACATAAGATGCGTACACACCTGCACACATGTTTTCATGCAAACAGACTTGCGTGCACACAGACAGACAGACGGACAGACAGACCGGCAGGCAGACAGATAGACGGAGACATACATACATACATACATACATACATACATACATACATACATGCCTTGAATCTCGCTGGGCTAAGTATCATCAATCCTTCCGTGACACTGGCAAGCGAATCCTTTGCGCTCCTGGCACGCTTGCTCGATTTTCGACGGAGGGAGGCGCGGCTGATTTGCCCCTTCAATGATGTGGCCATGGTTCACAACCTATGCCTCCATTTTGGGGCGGATGAACACCCATGTACCACCTATTTGATGTTCACCAGGAGTACAGGGTTTTGACCCACTGCTATGTGGCTGATTTGCCACTTCAATGATGTGGAGCTCGGTCAAAGGTTTTTGTGTCATTCAACTCGGCGGACCAAGAGACAAGTCTTGGGGCCAAGTCTTCCAGCCACGAATGAGTATCGCAACGGGCATGGTGAATAAACCAAAGCACCTGAGATGCAACCAACCAAAGAGTCGTTTAAATGGGCGTGGTGGAAACCAGGGACCCTTGTTAGGTCGATAGTGGGCGTAGCATCAAGCCAACCTGTTGCATCGTTAGCATGCCGTGTGAATGACCTGAGTTCTGGAGGATGGCAAGGGTTTTCAGCGGACAGCCCAGAACAGGAATCCACTTGGCTGTCATGTGAAAACCCAGCCCCCCCCCAGCTTTCCCAGGCTTAAAACCGGGGGGGACCTTCGCCGACAGTAGTTGAGTCTTTAGGAAAACAGGCCCCACTAGGCCAAAGTGCAATCCACTGGCTATTGGCATCCGCTGGCTTGCCGCTTTCGCATGGCGTTTGGCCCCCAGATGTTTATGTATTCGGAAGCAGTGGATCCAGATATCGGTTTTTTCTTTGAGAGAAAAAGTGGCTGCATGCCAGGATGTGGGCCGCGCGAAGGCTGCGCCTGAGGAAGTTTTCTTGCACGCCTCTCAAGGAGGAAGTGGTGTTTTGCACAAAGTGCTAGGGATAGGGAGAGACACTGCGGCCCTTCTAGGAACCCTTCTAAGAATCCCTAACAAGGTTCAAAGAACCACGCCAGGGGGGTCTTTGGTTGCCTCCCTAAGTAAGTGTGCGGCAACGTGTCGATGAAATCGACGTTTTGCCCCGCACGGGAATCGGCATCTTGAAAGATTGCATGGAAATGCTGCGGGCTGTGATGTTCCTCGCTGCCGCGCGGTGATGTGAGAGAGTGGAGTCAGAATCGAAACCAGGTATTATTTCGGCGCACCCAAAGCCATGTAAAATATAGAACGGCGGCCGTACCTACATATGGTCGGGAGAATCCGCCAACCTTCATCTACCCGTGTTTTGATTGGGGCTCAGTGTGCTTGCGGAGACAGAGTCCATGAAGTTTGCAGCATGTTGCCTCCGCTCTAGACACCCACCGAATAGAGCAGGGCTGCTATCTTTTTGCTGCATGCCAATGGGCTAAAGGTGTGTACATGCTATGAGGAACTCCAGTTTCCTCGAGGCAAAAGCCCGAAATGCCATGCCACACAGCGAAGTGCGGACACGGTGTCCAGCAACGCGTCAAGGTTGAGCCAAGCGCACACCTAGAAGGCGGACCGGTCACCCCCAGCAGCACTGGAGCTCTCAGCTTGCGCAACCCTTCGCGGACTTTCGTGGGCTGAACAGCGAGAGAGAGAGAGAGAAAGGGAGAAAGAGAGAACGAGGGAGAACTGAAGCTGGACTTCGTACGGCTGCCGGTGCCAGACGTGCCTTTCAGTCGATTTTCAGAAAGGGATTCACATTGAGATATCCTGTCACTTCCTTTCTAGGCTTCGGCTGCTTGCGCGTCTTGCTGTGTTTCGATGTGTGGAGAACAAACCGTCTCCCAGGACGGTTCGGCCAACAGCCTACTGTCCGAAGTTGATAGGTCAGAACTTGGGGTGCATCATCCGCAGAACTACGAGATACATGAAGTCTCCTGCCTGGGTCGGTTCGCTATTTCATACATGCAACCCGGGTTTGGGCGCATGTTAAATGATGTCCCCCAAGGAATGAAGCTTCCCGAAAGTGCTTTCCTGCCCCAAGCATGGGAAGGCTAGGCCAACGAGAGGGTTCGACCCTTCAAGGAGCTTGGTTGGCGGTTTTTTCCCGGCCCCATGGGTAGCGTCTTTCCTCGAATGTGTGGAGATTGGGGCCGGAGGGATATTTGAGTTGTCTGACACGAGTTGTTTTGGGCCCATCTTCTTGCACAAGGGAGTCTTCGAAAGCACCGCGCTGCTGGTTGGGCCCATTTTCCAGTGGAGTTGCGGTGGATCTACGTTTGGGCCAGCTGCCACTGGGTGGAATCTGCACTCGAAACGCCTCAGCCCAGTTGAGCGATCAAAACTCGGGGGGGGACGAGCTCAGCCCCCAGCAAGAAGACCTCAGGTTTGATTTCCCAGAAAGAAAGCACAGGTGTGGATGACTCAGCTGAAGCCAGGAAGATCGGGTGTTGGCTGACATTGTATGCCATTGCCTAAACAAACCCTTCATCTTGGTTTTGCCAACCTGAAAACTCTCCACCATATTGCCATTGACCCATATCCCCACTTCTGAGCTCTCCTATGACTTCACCTCGATCCTTTGGAGCGGTTGGTTTTGATTGCGGGTTGCCGGCTCCGAAGATCGGGCCATGGACAACTTCGCGGCGGCGCACGGCGCCTGGCAGCCGCGGCCTCGGTGAAGGGGGTGGGTGCCTTCTGGGTCCGGCCGGCTGGGCTGCCCACCCCCAAAAGGTTGGGCCGGACATTTGGGTCCGAGGGGTTTTGAGAGTATACCCTCCTAACATGGCAACTGACACAGGGTACCCCCAAGAGGAAAGTCAGCTTCCGGATACCCTTTGACAGGTGCTATGCTTGTTGGAGGGAGGGGAGTTGCTTTTTGTTGAGTCGAGGGGAGAGCTTAGAGGCACCACCCATTTTGAGGTGGAGACTCAAATTCAAATCGCAGTCCCATTTGGGGGGGGGGTGCGTTTTGGGTCCAGAGTCGTGACCCGACATGCGGGAAAACATTGGAGTTGGAAGGGATGGTGGGCTCAGTTGGGGTTTTTCTTGTCAGGAAACCATGACCACATGTGACACAAGAGCAGGTTATGACCCTTTTGGGGTCATAGGATTTTGATTTTGAAAGGGGTCTAGGGAGCTGGTTTGCAAAGATATTGCGCAACTATTTTCTCCTCTCAATCATCTCCTCTCTTCCCTGTGTGACTGTTGGTTTGGGGACTACATGGGGGAACGGTGCAAATTCCTCGCAACAACGGGTGTCCACCCAAATTTGCCATGTTGTCGTGGGGAAACAAGTAATTTTGTCCCGGCTCATATGTTGCAAACAATTCTACCACAACTGAGATGAAACATGTCCTCTCGGAGCAGCAAACCACAAGATTGCCTGTGGACAGAAGTATTCGCAGCTACAAGTTTGATCGCCACTGTGAACCGAGGTTATGCACCATTTTGGTGAACAGGTCGAGCCAAGTGACTGGAAAAGTCATCAGTTGAACCAGACATGCTCCGGCCAGGAAGGTATTTGGCCGTGTCGGCAGTGAGATCGTCCAGCGAGAGGGGTAAACTTTTGAAGACTTCAGGACACCCAGCTCACAGCGAAACCTCCGGATGCCAGCGTGTGGCCGACTGGCTGAGCCGGAGATTTCCGGTGGCTTTTCTGGTTGACGAGCGGCAAAAAGCGCACAGAGCGCGGGGTGGAGCCAAAGCCAAGAGTCAAATTCTTGGCCTAGGCAGCATCTGGGCAGAGAGAAGCGGGCGCGACAAAAGACCACGTTGGTGTGCGGGGCCCAGACGTTTTCTGCGAGAAAAAAAGGGGTCCGCTTGGTTGGTCGGTTTCTCTGTAATTGCCGCGTAGAACATGGTTCATTTTTGTCCAACCGGATTTGTAGACGCCACTTCGATTTGTGCATTCACCTCTGGAATCCCGACGGCTTGCTTGTCATTGAACAAACGGAAATGGTTGGTGTCCCTCCATTGCATCGGAGAATTGTCAGGGAATTGCATTCACCCCATTCCATTCGATTTGGCGGCCGCATGGTTGGTGGTTTGGATTGGTGGGATTGGGATTTGGAAGCCACTCCTGGAACACCTCCAAACCACCCATCCAAGCCACCCACCCAAGCCACCCATCCAAGCCACCCACCCAAGCCACCCATCCAAGCCACCCATCCAAGCCACCCATCCAAGCCACCCATCCAAGCCACCCATCCAAGCCACCCATCCAAGCCACCCATCCAAGCCACCCATCCAAGCCGCCAATTGATTGGACGCTGAGGTACTATGGTCGGAAAGGAGGTAAAGAACTGCTGGCGCCCAAAGCTCCACCCGCGCCGACGGTGGAAGACGTGTCCAAGGCGCGCTCCACGCATGGCCGGTGTGGCGACAGGCACATGGACCGGGGCTTCTTGGGAAACACAGCCTGCGCCGCAAAACACGGACCAATTTCGAGAACCCCCCCTCACCCCCCCCCCCCCAACCCCCCTTACCCCCCCCCCCCCCCCCAAATCTGTAGGGACTTGGGAGGGGAGGGTGGGTCGACGTCAACAGCAAGACTCGCCAACCAGGACAATACTCCATTCCCGCTCAGTTCCTGGTTTGCTTCGAGCACTTAGGTGGCTGTGGGTCAAAACCAATGGTACCATGTTGGGGCAGGTGCGCCACCCATTTTCGTCTATTTGAGTGGGAATTGGGATGTTCACTGGGTGTACGGGATTTTGACCCATGGCCAGGTGATGTTCGACAGGCTCTACCAGTCCAACTCCCTCCCGGCCAGCCGATTGTTGGGCGCTGGGGAGTGCATGGAAAGCCTGTGCAAGGTGGTCGTCAAGATGCAAATCACTTTTTGCGGTCCTGAGGACCAGTTCGGGGTCCCTTCAAGAGGAAACTTGGTCTTTGCACAGGATCCGTGTCGGAGTGGGTGGAAGCGTAAGTGAGAGTGAAAGAGAGATTCTGGCTGGTGATTATATTTTAGGACCAGGCAACATCAGAGTTTGCCTATTGCTAACCGTGTTTGTCTTCAAATGGCGGAAATACACAAAATCGGTGATTTCCCCTTGGTTTCCATTTGGTTTCCCTTTGGTTTCCCTTGGGTTTCCCTTTGGTTTCCCTTTGGTTTCCCTTTGGTTTCCCTTTGGTTTCCCTTTGGTTTCCCTTTGGTTTCCCTTTGGTTTCCCTTTGGTTTCCCTTTGGTTTCCCTTTGGTTTCCCTTTGGTTTCCCTTTGGTTTCCCTTTGGTTTCCCTTTGGTTTCCCTTTGGTTTCCTCTTAAACCAGCCAACCACGGGTACGCCCAGCTTTCTTTACCCAAGAACCTGCAACCAATCCCTCGGAGTCAACATTTGAGTTTGCTATTTTATGTTCATATCACAACAGACCAAGACTACAAAATTCAACATATAGACAAAGACAAGTAAAACACGCTCCCAGGGAAAGTATGTGTGCATTCCCCCCCGCCCCTTTTGAGACAAGACCCGGTTCGCACCACACATTAGCCATGAGACCAATCCAGGCTTTGAGCGAGGCTCCGAGCTCGAGGCTGGGCAAATGGGTCCAACTCGAGCGAGACCTTGGGTCAGCGGAGGTTGAGCTTGGCAGTTTCCAGCCGCCGGTTCTTTGGGTGAAAGAAGGGTTTGGGTTGGTTTAGTGGTTGGGTTTCCATTTCACGAAGGGGGCGAGCTCCGCCAGGAAAAAAGGGGTTTAGTTGAGTGGTTAGGTTTCCAATTAACTGGGGGGGGGATCGGAGGGCAGCCCAGTCAAGCAAGGGGGACTATCGCAACCTCCATGGTTTCAGCAGGGCTTGGCACAACCCTGTTGCGAGCTGTGAGGTTTGCTCCAGATTGCCAGACTGAATGCGAAGGGGTTATGTGCGGGAGGAGCCTCTACATTCCAAGCACAAAAGCAAGGAGGACGTAGCATACTTCCACCGTGGCATTATGATTTCGCTGATGAGGCGGTAGACATATCTTGCTCTGAATATGTGCAGATGGAGTCTGGCCAGATGGATGAAGGGGTTGAATGATATCAGTTTGCCAAACTTAAGAAGGCTCAAACGCAAGGGTTGACAACTCCATTGCTTGAAGCAGTGAACACCGCGGCATTCTCCGGAAGACGAACCAACCAATCAACAAGCAAGCAGGCAAGCAGACAATCAGGTAAGCAGGCAAGAAGGCAAGCAAGGAAGCAAGCAAGCCCAACATTCAAACCAATGAGCAACTGCGCAAACAGACTAGACGTAGATTTGGCGCTGGGGAATGTCGGATTGCGCGCACACGCAGAGGATCTTGACATTAGAGCACCACATGACCCCAGCTAAAGGGGGGTGAGCTCAAAAATGAAAAGGGGACAGCCACAACCATCCGTGGTATTTCTGGCACCAAACAGTCCAAGTGAAGTTCATATCACGCCCATATTTGTGCGTGTGAGGATTTTAAGAGGACCCCCCACAAGTGGTTGGGTTTTTCCTCTTGGTTTCCCTGAAAGTTTCCAACCAACATAGGTGCCCCCAGCCCTTAAAACAAGACCGCAGCCCAATCGGCTTTCCTCTTTGGGAGTGTCACCGTTGGGTTCAAGAACGCCCCGAACAACCGGTCCCCCGGTTCCAGGGGCCCGCGGCGCTTGAAGTCCTGTGGCCTCGAGCGGCTGCGCGGCCCTTGGTTTTTTGTTTTTTGATTTTTCTGGGAAGAACGGGACATTTCGGAACCGCGGAGAGTGTTTTGTTTGTTTGTTTGTTTGCTTGTTTGAAGGGTTGGGTGGCTTTCTTTTGCAACCCCTCCCCCAAAAGAGACAGCAACCCCAGTTTATTCATAGGGGCATGTCTCTGGGTTGACGGGGGGGGGGGCTGGGGGAATCGCTTTTGCTTGGTTTGAAATAGAAACCGAAAGGAAGCCAAGGCTTTTGGAGGTTTTTAAGTTGTGAGGCGAACCCCATGGATCTTGTGAGTCGGACAAAGCGCGAAGGCCGGAGAGGCGGGAGGCAATGACGGCCTGCTCGAACAGATCCAATGCCAGCAGGACGGTGGACAGTCGGGATGTTGAAGAGGGGTGTTTCTCGAAGTAGGGGAACAGACAAAGGGAGATCGCCTTTTGGTTCCCACATCCACGCAAAGATGGGGTCCACCATTTTGAGAACTTCCCCCCCAGGCATGTTCGACGTCGGTGCAACACCGGCCCTTTTTCGTTGGGCCGCAGAGGGTGGCAGGACATGTTTCCGAGCATTCAGATCTCCAGGAGAAGCCGAGCGGCATCCAGTGGCGGGAGATGGCCTCAAGTTCGATTCGGATTCAGAGCCTACCAGTCAGAAGAAGCCCCCCTCGAACTTACCCATCATTCCCATACGAAACGGGTAAAACTCCGGATTAATCCGAGGTTAACATTACCCTCTTTTCAATCATGGAAGGTGGACAAGGTGCCCCAAGAGGAAAGCTTTCGTCTTCTGACACCCTTCCATCATCAGCTGGAGGGTATTGGGGGTGTTGAGAGTACCACTTTTGGGGTTCAAAGCCCAGCCTAAAGTGAGGTTCCCAAATTTGGCGGCCCCATGTGGCGGAGGCATTTTGGAGTTGCCAAGGCAAAGCAGGCAAGAGCAAAACCTCCTGTTCTTCAACGACCAGCGCTGCCCCCAGGGTGGTGCTCAAGTTTTTCGCGCGCCTTGCCAATGGGACCCGTTGAAGGGGAAGCCCTTGCGTAGAGGGGGGCTGTGAAAACGTCCAAAACCGGATCCCAAATGAGAAACTCGAGCCCAAAACTGGCTGCTGGACACAACCCCCCAGGCTTTTTCAGTGCTCACCAACGTATCCCATTTTCCGCTTTCATCTCCGACACTTTCAGGCAGACCGCCCATTTTTTTTGGTGCTCACCAAAGGATCCCCAAATTGAAGTTCATCTCCCAGCGGCACACTACCGCTGTCAGGCAGAGGCAGCGCACCCCCTCCATCCGGAGCTCGATGTCGCAGCTCAGCGCCACCTCCTCGCTGTGGTTAGAGGCGGATCCACCTGAAACGCCGGTGCCGCCGGTGCGACCTGCGAAAAGTGGATGCCGAAAAGGGCCCCCCTGAATTTTTTGACCCCAAGCGTGACTGCCGGCGCAGAACCGATAGTTCGGAACTGAACTGAGTCATGTTGCCTACCGGTACCAACGCTCTGGTGGTTTCCACCCACAGCCCTGGTAAGCAGCCCTAGGTCTCAGGCCGTGCGATGCGTTTTGGGCATTAGCAGAGCGACGCTCTGCTTCAGGTGGAGAAAGCCGTGCAGGAAGAGGTCGCAAAGGCGGTGATTCGGACAGCGAAACTTAGGGGAGCCCCGAAATGGGTTCCTTTGGGATTCCCTGTAAAACAACCCCACACGGGGTACCGTCTAAGGTCTAGAGAAGAAGACTGCAGCTTGCGTCGAAAGATGGATTGGATGGAACAAGATCTGCATTGACGCTCCTGTGAAGCTGAGTCTCGTGAAAGGTGGTCAAGCCTCTGCAAGAGCGGCTCGTTTGCGAGGAGACGCGAAATTGTTTCATTGCTTGCTTGCTTGCTTTCTTGTTTGTTGGTCCCAGGGGAAGAGTACTGGTAGAGCTTATTGGCATCGTTCCAGAGGAGCAAGCGCGGAAGCGTGCAGAGGAAGCGTTGCGGACGGGCTGCAAAGGGGCTGCAAGAGCACATGGATGTTTGAATTCATGTGGATTTAATACATAACTGCGCGATATGACTCACCTGTGTTCATGCTGTCAGCAGTTGCACTGCTCATACATGTGTGGTCCCACTTTGGCACCAGCTTTTGCTTGAAGATTTGACACGCCTCTGCATCAGACTTCGGCTTAGTGATGTTCACAGATGCCGGCTGGTGGTGGTGGTGGGGCGGTGAAATCATTCCTTGGAGGATCTGTGGTGGAGCAGAGGCTGAGATGCCTTCCTGATGCCGCGCGAGCTGGGCTCTTGTAATCAACATGGCCGCCCGCATGTCGAACATGTCTCATGCCATAGGTGTCCTCTTTGGTTGATTTGTTCAAAACAAACAGAGGGCCCTGGTTTTAGATGGGGTTTATTCCGTTTACCAGGGCCATCTATTTTTTACAAAAGGCCGCCCATGGTCTCATGGCTTAGACTCTTATTTGTAGATTAACTGAGATAGCTCTCTTGGCCCCCAGCGCACAGAATGCGGCTGCATGCTGTTTCACAGTTTCACTGCGTAAGCCTCTCGCATACAGACGCGCATGCGGTGGGTTTACAAGTGCTTGCTTATTGTGCCTGACTGTACGCAGCTCTGATGCACATGGGCCATCAAAAGGATGCATATGAGGTAGCCCTCATCCATTGTGGGTATCTGGTGACCAGAAAGCGCGACATCCTTTGGTGAGACTGGGGCCGGTGCCTTTGAACACTTTCTTGCCAATGTCAAGCAGGATCGGCTGTTGGGAGGGAGCCAACAGCTGAAACGGCTTGTGCGGTCCTTCGAAGCCTTGGAAGCCGCCTACACTTTTCCATGTCCCTCCGAAAGTGGGGCAATTTCAACGGAGACGCCTTGCGAAAGTTGGGAGCCTCCGGTGGTTGCGCCCTGTCGTACTTTTCCGGTGGATGGTTGGGTGTCTCCTCTTCGTGGGGCTTTACTGGAGGGAACATTCACGTGAATCGCAGGGCTCAACTAGGGTCCCCAGTAGTGCCCTTTCACGGTTTCTTTTTCGGGGGAGGGTTCCCCGACTAAAATAGACTAGAGAAAAAAGGGTAGCCGTTTTCTAACCTCTCCACTGGAGGACCTAGTCAAGTTTCCTGGATCCCTGCAGCCATAAGCGCAGCATGTAGCTCTGATGGCGGGACGGCCACCTCCCCGCAAGCGCCGGAGAGATTGGGGAGAGGAGGCGCGTGTCTGGGGCCTCCAAACATGGCGATGGTTTCAATGGACACCGGACAACATCAGTAGATTGCTTCACTTTTGAAGAGGAAATCCTGCGACCCCTGTGAACCTTTGGCTTTCCCTTGCAGACCGACTATACAAGGTGACTCGCCTGTCAAGCCAATGTGGCCAGGAACGTTTGATGGTTGGAACTTTCCAAAAATGGAGTTGGTGGTCGTATTCATGCAACCATGCACAAAGGGCCGTGCTGAAAAAGTTGGCTCGAATCAAACGCCGATTGGGGTAATTGCGACTTGGGCTGAATGACATTCTCAATCAGGCACGGCTTCCGCCCGAATGTAATGTCTTTTATGGAGTTGCATGTCTTCTTTTCCTGCGGAGGTTGGGAATGGACGCGACTAGAATTGGTGCTGCGTGGCAGCTGAGTGGGTGGCTGGCAATTCCCGTTTGGTATCTTTTCTGTGGTGCTTTCCACCCTTGACTGAGTCCCTCTTCTACACAGATCGGTGGCTTGGTGTTTTGCTTTAGACGTTTCTCTGGCAGATACTATTTTGTTTCCTTTTGGGTTTGCATTTAAACGACCCGCTTTGAAGAAGCTTTGTCTTTGCTGTTTTGCACGCGAGGACGTGCCCCACGCGGACAGTCGAGAGCCGTCTCCGAACAGAGATGGGGCCGGGGAGCTTATGCCAACTCTTCCAGTGGCAAAAGATGGGTGTTTCCAAAAGGAAGATGCCCTTGTTGCTCGTTCTTTCATGGGCAAAGAAATACATGCATATTCTTGGGCCCGTCTTGTTTGCCTGCGACAATCCTAAACCAAGAAACCAGGCCTGAGCCAACAATCACCTGACATCAAATTAGCCCCAAGCCTACCCCTAACCAACCCTAAAGCAACCGTTCCCCCAATTCAACAACTGAACCTACCTGAACCAGTACAAAACCCATCCTGAACCCAACCCCAGCCTAATCATATGTAAACAAACCCAAGGGTCAGGCATTCTAAAAGCACATCCTTACCGTGCCGACCATTGCGGGCAGAGGAGGCATTATTCACAATGCAAGTTGTGGGGTTTTGATATCTATCCGATTGCGGAACCCATGCGAGATGGCCCCATGCTGGGCATGCCTTGTCAGAAACGGATGGTTTCCCTTTCGTTTCCTTTTAGAACAACCCAAGAAAGGGTACTCAGCCTCATTTTGTAAAAAAACAAGAAACAAAAACAACAACAACAACCACAAACAAAACAGAAAGAAAGCAAGAACGCACACACACACACACATCCCGTCAAAGCTGAGATTTGTGCTGCGTGTGCACCGTTTGATACCTGAGGGCCAGCTGCGGCGCCCCTTCTCCAGGCGAGGTCTCCGGTCTTTTTGAGCCTCGGACCCGTCGACGAGAGACGTGTACCACCTTGAACGGGTTGGGGGGGTGAGGGTGCGGGGGGGGGGGGGGGGGGTCTTTTTTGGGCTCACAAAAAAGGCCAGAGTACGTCGCCTGTGTCCATCATGGCTAGCATATTTTGACCGACTTCTTTTCGGTTTCCCTTTTATAAACAGCACCCCCCCCTCCAAAAAAAGGCGTAGCATCGCCAAAAAGGCAAACCCACGTGAGGCCAAGCTTTGCGTGATTCGGCCCCGAAGCGGTTCAGAAGCCGTCAGGTTGCTGGAGCGCCGCAGCAGGAGTCGCAGCTGGAAACTGAGCTTTTGGGTTCGATCCCATTGGTTTCGATTAGGACCCGATGGGTCGCTTGTGAAGGGACATGTGGCTGTGGTGGTCAAAACCGTTTTGGTATCCCATTGTGGGGTAGGTGAATTCACCACCCATTTTAGAACCTATTTTTGTGGTTGCATGTGGATGTTCACTGGGGGTACGGGATTTTGACCGGTAAAGAGGTTCGAAGCAATTTCGGTGGTGGCCCCACCGGACCCATAGTCCCCCAAGCATGGGAGTCGGCAGGCTTTTGAAGGCGATCGTTTGCTTTTGAATTCTTCGGGAATGGAGAGGGCGCGTAGCTAAAGGAGGAGCATGATTGGGATGTGGAGAGCCATTCTTTTGCCAGCATCATCCCCAAACAGGGGAGACCCACGCTCTCATAGTTTCCGGCTTGAAAAACGGTGCCAGAGAAACGACTCGTGGGCCGTTCCTGCAACCCGCAAGTTGGCGTCCGAATCCCCGGTGAGTCCAGAATCGGCTGTGAGTCGGCTGAATCCCGCGTTTCGACCCTCAAACCTGGAAGGTCGAAGTGGAATGGGGGGTTGAAGCCGCTGAAAACTGGTCGGTGGACAGAACTCCCCATGTGAGCAATGTTCACCAACGGGCCCCGATCCTTGGATGGTTTTTGGCTCGCGGCCGATGTACCAAAGAACCGGGGGAGCATTTTTGATTCCTCAGCCAAGCCAAGCTGTTCCCTCTCTTTTTTTTTCCTCACCGAACTCTCCTTGAAAACGGTCACGGCTGCTGGTCACTCTCAAAATATAGACACACCCAAACATTTTTTTTCGGGTGGATGAGACCCTGATGCCGCAACCCCCAAGCTCTTTGGGTTGGATGTGGCTCACCCTTTACGCACTGGGCCGCCTTCTTTCCCTTTGTGTTTCGTGTTCTTCAGCTCAGGCCCGCAGCGGCGGGTGATCATCCCCGGCCGGCGCAGCTGGGCCCTCGGCTTGCGACTGCTTCGCCCGCGTCCGTGCAAAAACTGTTGACGGAAGGCGGCCTTTTGGACAAATTATTCTGCTACTGCGCGTTAGATCTTGTTGCCTGGTTCATTCGGGCTCGACCTTCATCGAGCAAAGCTGGAGTATCCTTAACAGCGGCCCACATTCCTTCCTTCCCCCAACCCTTCCAGGACACTGGAAAGAACACCCACGGAAACTCCCAAAGGTGAGGCCGTTCAGAAAGGTCCAACAAATGACCGTGAAAGTTTCCAAAGGTCAAAAAAGGTCAAGAAAGGTCAAGAAAGGTCAAAGAAGGTCCAGTTCTTGGGGCCTTGGGGTCAGGTTTGCCATGTCCAGAAGACCTCACGGACTGTTTCCATCGCAGAAATCGCAGGCCGCAGCCCCAGCAGGAGAGGTCGAAGGCCGCCAGGCCGGGGCCCAGGGTCCCCAAGTCCGGAAGTCCGAGAGGCGCATGGGGCGTTCTGCCTGGGTTTTCTTGGGTTTTAGCCCACCCTTTTGGTCTCTTTTGGATGTTTTTGGTGGGTTTCCCCCATCTTTTTGGTGGCTTCTTTTTTTTTTTGGTTATCCCCTTAGAAGGAAGAAGCTACAGCTATCTGGGAAGAAAGCTGTCTGGGGCAAAGCCCAACCTGTACTGTGGAAGCACAAAACCCATTTCGCACCAGTTGAGATGGGTATAAAGCCCCACAAGTACTGGATCAACCATCCTGTGGGGTTTGCTCCTTCACACTGTGGCTGGGTGTTGTTCTTTGCGGGAACCCCTTTCTGAGGTTATAGGCTTTCGTTGCACAAAGGAGCAGGGAGCTGCGGGTGGTCAGGGTTGAGCTGAAGCTTGGCGCTCGCCGGGGCCCGCTGCGGTGGTCTTGGCGGGGTGCTGGTCCTGGTGCCGAGGTGCTGTGGTGGCTGGCGTTGCTTGGGACTGGCGATGCGGTCAGGGTCGGGGCGCTGGTCCAGGGTTAGCTTCCCGTGCTATTTGGGGTCTATGCTGCTGTTCTTTCTGGTACTCCGCCCAAAGAATGAGTTTCAGCATGTCAAAAGGGGCCTGACAAAGGGTTTGCAAAGGTCCCTTTTGGGACCCTGTCATTTGTACCGCGTTTCAACGGGCGTTCCGTCTATGTAAAAGTGGTTGGTAGACCGAAGTTCACATGTAAAGATGTGCACCAACGGGCCGTCACTAAAATTTATCCATGTCAAGCGCATAATTAGCCAGTTTGGTGTCCGGGACATGGACTAAACGAATGTCTTCGCCCAAATCAAGCAATCCATGAACCAACGAACCACCCACCCATCAACCACACAACCACCCGGGTCTTCTTGCGGTGGCTCACGTTGGCTCCATCGACCTTCTGCGCCTGTAGGAATCAAAAGCCTGTCAGGTGAGCCACAATCAAAGCCCGGTAGATGAAGGTTAGTAAGGGACAATCCCAGCCACAAATAGCTGCGGATATCCGCCTTCTGAACTCTTCACATGGTGGGTAGACCATTCTAGTACCGATCGGTTTTGATTATGACTCAGGTGCCATGTTGGTTCCGTTCCAGGCCGCATGGGCCCGGACCGCGGCGGCCCGGACCGCGGCGGCCCGGACCGCGGCGCCCTGCCGCGGCGCCGCGTGCGGGGAAGCTCGGGTGGACCGTCCGCGAGAGTTCCTGTTGCTTTCGCTTTCTGTGTTCGAGTCTCTAAAATATATCAGTATTTTTTGGATTTCCTCTTTGGATTTCCCTTTGGCTTTGGATTTCCTCGTTTCTTTTTGCTTTCTGTGGAAGTTCCCTTCGAGTCTCCTCTTTGAATTGTATATCGGACTCCCTTTGGATTTCCTCGTTGGACTTTCCTTCAGGTTTCCTCTTTGGGTTTTCTTTTGGGATTCCCTTTGG